TAACATCAAAAGTTTCAAAGAAGGGATGGATACCGTTGCTTAGTGGTGTCAATACATAAGCTAAATTAATTGGATGACTCTCGATGAGGCTAAGCCAAACTCTAGCCCAATCATGCATCTAATGTTAGTGGTAGACCAATAATCCATGCAAATAAGTAACATGAAAGTAGTCATGCAAATGCCAATAAGGCAAAGCAATCATTTGTTCAAGAGTGTAGTGTTCATCAATCAACCTACTTGCTCTTTTCTGGCCCAAAGGATGCCTAATTTGTTTATGAGCATAATCCATCACAAAGAAGTGGCCTTGATTGATGTTCTCAAATATATATCCACTCTAAATGGATTTAAGGAGGCAACTGCATTTTTTTCTTTAAGATTCATTAAGATTTGATTTGAGGCAGTTGTTAAAACTATAAAATTGTTGAGTGGAATATATATTTTTTGAGTTTAAGCTTTTTATAAATATTATATTTTAACAATTATGACAACGAAAGTCAATTTCTCTCAACATAAACCTCTAAAAAGCAACAACAAAATTATAGCCAAGCAAAATTATGTAATTTTTTGGTAAAATCATGCTATGAAAAAGCTGTTCCAGGCAGACCCTACGATTACATGACATTTTATTCATAGTTATCTAACTCCAACATATTAAGAATAATTCGGTATCCATGCATGTATATTCGTCCAAAAAGTCGCTTGCTTCTATTTTGCTAGACAAAAAAGCATACCTATAAAATAGCTAGCATGGTTTAGAACCCTCTCAATTCTAGATGATACTTTACAAAAAAAAGTCAATAACTTCTTTTTCCCCCTTCTCACAGACAAAATATACATGAACTTAAGATGATCTCTCTCTGGACGAAGTGATTTGCTTACAAGAGGATACTTCCTTATTGCCAAAAATATTACAATGAATTTATAACTTTGTACTAATCCTGAATCACATAGAATCACTTGTAATTTTAAATTAAGGTCATGGAGAGAACGTTTGAGAACAATATTGCTCATAGAAGTACCACAAGGGTAAGCAAGGAAAGAGCCAACTATTTATAATGTCCCTTAATGATCATTCATTTAACATAGAGACAAAAGAGTAGAGGCTTAAACTTTATGAGTTTAGCACCAAATCAAAGAATCCCTTGAAAATAAATAACAAAAAAAAAAAAAGACTGGTGATTTTGAAATGTAATCTTACAATAAAAACCTTATGCACCCCTCACTCGAAGATGGTGTTTCATAGACCCAATAAGTAATCTAATAAAATTTGCATAAATAAACTATCATGAAAGAAAATTATGGCAAACATATCAAATGCATGTCAAGGAACATGCATGTGATATGTATTACATGTGCCAAACACTACATACATACTTTGTCACTACAAAGTACAATTATATGAAAAGAATGCACAATATTGCTATTGAACAAAACATGTAATTATAAAATGTAATTTAAATAAAAAATAGAAACTTAAGGTAAATAATTTTATCTTATTCATAACTAAGGCATACAACCAAATATAAAAGATGAAATTAAGCATGCATGTAGGGTTTGATCATTAATCTCCCCTTTCTCATCATTAACATCTACCGGCTTGCATAAAAAAATATTCATACAAATGCATGAATTTGATCTATGAGGAACTATATATATAAATCTAGAAATGAAATTATAGACAAAGAGCAAAAGAATGGGCAGCTTTCCAACGTAAAAATATACATTCACAGTGCTGTTTTCTTATAATTTAATTTAGCATGATGATCGATCTATATATACCCATTTGATTAATTTGGCAGTGTATAGAGAGATTTGCCTTTGTAGTCAACATCCTGTAAATGGCTCCCCGCAACAGCAGCGGCCATGGTTGAGCTGCTCTTTTCCTTCTTATGGTTAGCCGCCTTTCCTGAGCTCCTATTGCTCGCTCCCTTCATTGCTTCCGCTGGCTGCCTAACCTTCACTCCTCTTATCATCTATGTTAATCACAAACATCCATCATAGTCAATACATTTATATATATATATATATATATATATATAGAGAGAGAGAGAGAGAGAGAGAGAGAGAGAGAGAGAAGTACATATTTTCCACTCTTGGCATCAGAGTATATCACTATAAAATCTCCTTCTTGAAGTCCATTTGCTTTCACAAAATCCCCTAAAATGCAATTATTCAACATAAAATCATGATGCATATTAAGAGTGGGTGTAAGAGGTTTATTTATGGAGAAAGTTTAAGTGAATTAGGATGGGATTTTAAGCTTATTTTTTAGATTATTTTGATCAATACAACTTTATTAAAAAAAAATTTCTTCATTCACTTTGTGAGTGATGAATTATATTGATTGTAGAAATACCTGTGTTCTCCAAGAGATACATTCTACTCTTGTTGTTTGGCCAAAACCTGTGGATATGGTTGAGCTGCTATTTATTATTCAAGAGTATATGAAATTGAGCGATAGATAAAATTACATTTGAAGTGGAATATATATATATATATATATATATATTAAGTGTCAAAATAGTCTCAAAAAATTTATAAGTTATTGTTTTAGTCTCAAAGTTTATAGAAGTGTCAAAGAAGACGCAAACTATTTTAAAATTGAGCTCTAATGGTACTCTATGGGGACCATTCCAGCTCCAATTTAGCAAGTACGGGAACTATTTTGACATTTTTATAAACTATGACTAAAACGATTCCATGTAAATAATCATGGACTATTTTATCATTTTACACTTCATATATATGTATTATATAACAATTAATACCTGTAACGCATGTTCCAAACCCTAGAGGCCCCAATATCCTCCATTTCAATTGAGATTCCGTCCCTTGTATCAAGCACTGGGAGATGAATCTCTGCTTCTTTCTGTTAAAAATGTAGTCCCAAAAATAAATAAGATTGCAATATTTTAATTAGTTTTAAAAGATGAAAATTTCCATTAATATTTTTTTATCAGTGAGCTCAAGCTCATATATTAAAGGCGAGCATAAGATTGATCATATACATAAGATAATCGCTAGATAAAATAAAGATATTAAATATATGACGAAGGCAGACAAATTCTTCACAGTTAAGATTTTTTGATACTTCAAACTTTTAGATTTGAAAAAAAAAAAAAGTTTACTGCTCAGACTAGAAGGTAGAAGGTGATTGATACTCTCTTAATTTCCTGAAATTTAGCTAATTATTTTCATATAGATACAAAGTGAGTGTACATATGAATGCACATAAACAATTATAAGTATACACATGTACCTTGTACATGCAGTATATATAGATAGATTAATTTCAGCACCTTAAATAAACATGGAAATTAGTAGAACAAGAACATATTATCAAGATAAATATGGGGAAGCTATTTTTACAACCCCACTCATTTGGTCCAATAAAAGAAAATGGACCATATTGACATGACATTTAAATAAATCAAGAATTGATAAATTACTTTTTTTTTTTGGATTTATTTAAAGAGTGTAACAATAAATAAACTATCAAATATTATTTTACATCATATATTCTTAAGACAAAAATTCATTTTAATATTGAACTAATTAATGATATTATTAAATCTAAAGGGGGCCGCATATTTATTTTCTAGAGTATGGATCAAATTGTATGTATAATCAACATAAAAAACATAGCAGAGGTTATAAGATTCTAAGTCCTTATGGATCTAATTGTACGTATAATTAACACCATTTCTCTCCTATGTGATCTATAGAGTAGTGAGATAGCTCCTTACTAAAAAAATCATTGTTGAGCATAATTTTACTAGATAACAACATGATAAATTTCCTACTTATATTACATAAGTTAGACAAATCATCATGCATACTATTCATCGAAGAAATAGAGGGTGTGGTGCAATTGACACTTGCATCTTATTTTTTAGAGAATTGCAAGGGATTTTGTTCTAATTATTATTTCTATAAGGGTGAGGAGTTTAAAATAATGTTAAAAAAAAGGGTAGCGGATGGAACAAAAAGGCTGAAATTTTATTAAAATGACCTTTAAAAAATAGCCATGAATTTTTGGAGCCCACCCAAACTTCATTGTGAAAGTATAACAAATATCTTTCTCCACCAATACTCTAGCAACAAAAGGTATAGAAAGAGAGTTAATAACTAACCTTATTTTATAGAAAGATGGACATGAAGGAATAAAAAGTGTTGAGATTCATAAAATGAATACACATGCAAGGGAAGGAAACCTAGAGTGATACAAGGGGATTCTTTATGAATTTAAAATAATATAGTATCATTTGCAAAGCCTCATCACATTTCCATTAACAAAATAGTTTCCCCTAGAAATTAAACATCTTAATTAGCATAATCATCTAACTATTATACTTTTATGAGCCTGTGACATTGGATAATAAGGCAAACTAAGTGCGAGTTATGTACTCCCAAGTCACCAAAAAAATGATGGATCACCCATGGTAGGTTTTTTTTATTATTATTATTAAAATTGCCCACCATTGCAAGTTCAAATGCATTTGTTAAAACACTTATATCTTCATCTAAAAAAATTAAGAACAAATGTACCTTTGAATATGATTGATTTTTTTTTTTAATTGTAGGAGTATATTTGAAGGGAGACATGCCACAAAGCCTTACACAAAGACAAATGCAGCAACTAACAAGAAACTTGAAAATGATAGCTTGTTGAGTGTTAGACATGGAATTGGAAGAGAGAAACTAATTCTTAAGTCTTTTGACACCTAGAAGGGTAACAAGGATTGATGTGGAGCAACAACCTTAAGGGCTCTAGCAAGAAATGATCCCCCAGAACATAACACACAAAAAACCGATTCTATCAATAATTAGAGGGAGGATATATATATATATATATATATATATATATATATATATATATATATTGATATCAAGTATCATTGTCACTGTAAAAGGCTATATCTATAGTATTACCCTAATGGAGAAGGAAAGATGGGCAAAAAGGATGTAAACTATCACCCCAACCCATTGAAGGCAATTAAGAACCCCAAGGGAAGAAGAAAATTAGGATTTTAGAGTTGAATGGAATGCACCACCCTCTTATCTTACACCAATTGTAGGCAAAGCAAGGTCACATTTGCTATTGCAAACTCTATGCTATTAAGAACCTCACCCCAATTTAGTTGACAAAAGAAACATTACCTTAGCATGGTCACAACGCTGAGATGCAGCCATTTAACTCCATCGAGATGATCCCACCTTGGTTATATAAAAAATAACTAAGGAACTCAGGAGATAAGTAACAACTATTATGACATGAGTTGAGGTAAAGCTTAGTTATTGCTCATATTAACTCAAATAATTGATTATTATAAGTAATACTTAAGTCAATTGTTATTTTTATACAACATTAACTAGTACATGTCTTTATTGAGTTCTAAAAAATTTTAAAAGCAAATAATACATATAATTAAATAAAAAATAAAAATAAAATGATAAAGAATATTTTTAAACCAAAAAAGAATTTATAATATGTGACAATTAATTAAAAGGTTAATTTTTTGGGCAACATTCTCTATTTAAAACAATGTATAGGAAAAACAAAATTAAAAGGACTCAACTATACTAATCCATTTAACTAAAACTTAAAAACATATATACATTCATTTATTCAAATTGTAATATGATATAATTCTTATTAGGATCCAACTAAAACTATGAACATGGAAGTTAAAGATTTAAATTGTGTTGATCATTAAGCTCTCTATGGATTAAAAAATAATAATAATAAAGAAACCATTTCTAATTATTTTAAAAACATTTATGCTAAGTTCCATAATTTAGCATAAATTCATAAATTTTTAATAGGATATATCATAAGATACAAAGACTCATAGGGGATGTTTGATACCATTTTTAATAGGATTTTTCATCAAATTTATGAAATCCAAGCAAACACCAAATAGAGGAGTTTCATTAATCTATAAATTTTCAGATTTATGGTCCCAAATGTTATCTTCAATTCAGTTTAATTCTGCCGAATTGACTAAATCAAGGAAAAGGATGAATATAACTGATTTAATGCTAAATCGCTAATCCAAGAAAGGATTAATGAAGTTAAAAATGCTTACTTTGGGAAGAACAATCCTTCCAAGGCTCCCCACATCGCTCTGCTTCAACACCTTCCGGAGCAAAAATTTATAGTTATTTTCCGACTTGATTCCCTCCTGCGCGTCATCCTTATCACATTATTATCCAATCAACAAAATCCTAACTTTATAATTAAACAGAAAAAAAAATGCAGCAAAAAAAAGAAAAAAACCTTCACCCGAAGTCTCTCTGACGCAGGCGAAGCTGTACGCTTGTGTGGATGATTCTCCTCCTGCATCCGCAGCATGGCAGGAGCAGACGCCGATGAAGAAGACGACGAAGGAATATCAGCAGGTAAAGAAGACAAGAGAGAAGTAGAGTTTTCTTTATTAAAATTAGAGTGAGCAGATGAGCTTTCATGATCTGTTGCAACCGATGTATCTAAACTCTGCTGCTGCTGGTTCTGTACTTGTTGGCTTCTATGGTGATGAAAAGAAGAAGACTTTCTATGCCGGGCCATTCTCTTCTTTCTCGCCTCTTTAGTTGCCGATGCCATATGCCCCGTATAATACACTGGCAGGTTCTGTACGTACTGCACCGGCGGCGGCGCCAGCGCCGGTGCCTGCGCTGGCATTGGCACCGGTAGCGGCATTTGGGAGTAATGAATCACCGAAGATGTAGATGGCGTTGAGAAACCTTGCTGCCATGGCTGAGCTGTAAAAGCTTGATTATTGTAGTAATTGTAAGGTGGAACAGCCTCGTCTCTATATCCGGGCATCACCGGAGGGTAAGACGGCTCCCCTGCGTAAGGAACCCAAGTGTTGGAAGGCAGAGCATCGTAATACAAGTCGATATTAGGATTTGAAATAGTTGCTATCTGAGGAGGAGGAGGAGGAATAGGAGGAGGAGGAAGAGGATGATTTGTTAATTCTTGATCTCTTCCAGCAGCTTCTGAACCGCGGGTGCGCCGTCTTTTCTTCTGAAGATGGTGATTTTGAACCCAAGAAAGTATGAGCTTGAGGAGCTGAACTCGGCCCTGTTGTCCTCCCCCTAGGCGGCGAGCAGCGCACTCAATTGTGGAGCGCTTCAGCTTAATGCTCCTGAGATCTTCCGGCGAGATGGAGTCTTTGTTCCGCTTCAGCCAGTCTAGAAAAACGTTAGCTAAATCCTCCGAGAAATTTCCATCATCTCCGGCGAATAAAGATCCCATCTTTTCTTTATTCGAGGCCTGCGGGTCGGCTTCCCTGCTGCTGCTGCCGCCTCCGGCGGGGAACTCTCTTCCGTTGGGAAAGAAGGACGGAGATGAATCCCATGTGGACGACTCAATTGGGTCCATGCACGATTCCCACAGATCTATTTCATCCCCAAGAATATCAAAACCGGCGTCCATGGCAGGAGCCAGGGGATCCTCACTCGCCGCCGCAGGCGGCTGCTTGCCCTCAGTTTCAGCGAGAAGGAAAGACCACGGCGACGAGGAGGAGAACGAGGAGGAGGAAGAAGAAGAAGAATTGGATGGCTTGGGAAGTGTTGAGGCGGCGGATGAGAAAGTAGCTGACGCCGCCGATGGAGAAGAGAGACAAGCAAAATCAGAGAGGGAAGGAAAGGTGTCATCTTCATCGGAAAAAAACAATCTTTCATCTGTTTCCTCCACATCAATCATCATATCCTCCACAGGAGACAACGCCGGCGCACCCTTCTCCTCTCCTCCGGCGGACTCCACCACCTTATCACCCTTCGAGCTCGAACCCCCTCCATCTAATTCCATCTCACGATCACCCATCCCTCTCTACCTCTTCCAATCGAACCACATCGAACCCTAAATGGCTTAAACCGCTAAAAACCAAAAATCGGACATTTAAATAAAATAAAATAAGAAAGATGACGCCTTTTGATATTATAAAATAACTGGAGAGATAAGCGACAAGTGACGAGACAGAGATGGAGGAGAAATAAAGAGATGGATTAATTTGAAATTTGAAATAAATACTTAATGAAGAACAGAGATTTATATAGCTTTTTGATGAGGAGGAGGAAGATGGGGAGAAATTAATTTAGCCTATAATCGTTCTTGTACGAGGAAACATGGAAAATGACTTCCAGAACCTTCCTCTTCCGGAAACAATAATAACAATAATAATATGTTATTATTACAGAGCACCCCCACCATGCAGTTCTTTCTTCAGCAAATACTGCAAACTTCCTTCTTCTGCTCTGCTCTGCATTGTGAGAGAAGGGAGAAGGATGGGGTTAGGGTTGATATTTATTAAAAGAGGAGGGGGGGAGATGTAACAGCAGGAGATAGAGTTTGTGACCAGTAAAACGTTGCCAGGTGGAAGTAGGCTATTGGCTCCAAGCGCGGTGCCGCAGTTGGCTATCCTCTCTCTCTCTACGTCGGCTGAGTCCACACCTAACAGCGTCGTTCCCGCTTGATTATTTTTATTGAAAAAATTATCCTTTAATTTTGATTTATCTCTTCTCTTCTTTCCCTTCTTTATTGATATAAGTATATATTTGCCTTACACTTTTATCCTCTTTTTTTGGTTTTTAAATGTTTTCATGAGAGTCATGTGGAGCTCTCTGATCGCAGCCGCGACCCAGAGCTGCGTGCGCTCTCCGCACGTGATAATCGCTCCATATGAACAATTTATGACTGCTCCTTCAGGTTGAGCTTGAGAAAATGGCACCATATTATTGCAAGGAGATTGATGATGAAGCAAATAATTCAAAAAAATATTGATTAGAATTATGATAATAATGTAAACGTTCAACTCTCTCTCTCTCTCTCTCTTTAATAGAGCATTATGTTTTCAAGTGGTTCTTCATTTGTGTCAAGTATTTCTTCATTTGAGTACAGTACTATCTTCATTTTTTATATTTATATAGATGATTTACATACATGCCAATTAATTCCTGTGCATTTACATATCTAATACCTAAATTTTTATTTTCTTACATATATTCTATCACATCCATGCGTAAAATATGTACTTTTTTAAAACCAAAATAGTGATTTTTGTTATGTGATATTAGATAAGCAATCCTTTCATATACATTTTCTTTGAGAAATTTGCATATATACACCCAACAATTCTTATGTAATATTTACATTTACCATACTTTATTTTCATAAATCTATGCATGACAATCATGTATTCCACTTTTATATTTTATGCATGTCATGTTAAAGAAGCATAACTGATTGTATTATTAGGCAAAAGATAACAATACACTATTTATCTCCACATTATTATACAAATACATATATATATATATATGAAATTATATTACATAGAAACATGCACATACATATGTACACACTAACAAAATGATAAGCAAAACCTACCTTGCCAATATTCATACATACACACACACACACACACATATATATATATAGACACATATCTCTGTATATGATCTATCTGATTAATATTCTCCCAAAGCACAGAGAGAATTGCCCTTATTCTCCAGCAAATGGCTCCCAGAAGCAGCCATGGCTGAGCTGCTGCTCTTCTTCTGATGAGCCTTTCCTGAGTTAACATTGCTCCCTCCCTTCATCGCTTCCACTGGCTGTCTAACCTTCACTCCTCTTATCATCTATTTTTCGCAATATCAAACTAATCATATTCATCATCCATACATTTACTTTCATAAATATAAATATATGAAAAAAAATGCTTAACAAATAAACACACACATACACACACACATATATATATATATAAAGAAATAAGAAAAACATTACATATTTTGTAGACTTGATGTCAGAATATATCACTATGAAATCTCCTTCCCGAAGTCCATTTGATCTCACAAAATCCCCTGACAAACCCAACATGCAATCATATACAAGAGAAATTAAGAAATAATTTGATGATTTTTGTTAACTAATGAATTAACTGATAAGTCCAATCTCAAATCCTTAATTACACAAATACCTGTGTTCTCCAGGAGGTACATCCTACTCTTGTTGTTCGGCCAAAACCTGTAGCGCATGATCCAGACCCTTGAGGTTCCAATGTCCTTCATTTCGATGGTGATTCCATCCCTGGCATCAAGCTCTGGGAGATTCAGTTCTGCTTCTTTCTGCAAATATTTACAGTAAGAAATGGGGCTTTCTGTACATAAATCCAAGCTGGTGCTGCAAATAAAATGTGGCAGAAGGACCTGAATAATCATTAAAATTTATATCTAATGAAATTTTGTAATTTTTTTTATACATATTTGAGATTTTAACATAATGTTTACATATATTATATTACTTTATGTTGTATAATTCATCTAGGCTCCAGTTTCATATATTTAGCAATAAAAATCTCTTTTTTTTTCTTCTGAAATATATGATAGAAATGTGCGTTTGATATTTTATGTACTAAAATTCACATAAAGAACATCATATAGGTGAGTGCAGCTTTACAATTGGTAATATATCAAAAATATGAAGTTATACTTAAAATATACACTAGCAATTAAATAATGTCAACACTTATGTTAGACAAGTTTCGACGCTGAATATTTGTTTAGAATTTGCGGCGATCATCATTAAGGATGAGTTTTGAGTTGTCATATGCTGACACAAACATTTAGCGTTAAGTTGAAAGACTACATTATTCTTCGTTATCTTTGTCATTTGATAGCAACGGCAGTGCGAACGTTACGGTTGACACAAATCAAATAGCGTTGTATGCAGGCGACGTAAGTTCGACTCTAACCCTTACTCTAAACCTCCGCACGCTAGGCTCGTACATGTTCTCTACTTTTCAGTTGTCGAAACCCTACTTCCTCACGATCGTTCGGTGAAGCTGCGACCATCTCTTCTCTAATGATTGTCCAAGACCATCCAAGTGCTCAAAAGTAATTTTCCTATTTTCCTGCATTTAATTTTGTCAATTCATTTAGTTTTTATTAATTTGCTGAATCAATCCATTTAGCTTCAGGTTTATGTATTAGGGTTTAGCTACGCCTTAGTGTGTGTTTGGGATATCACTAAGGCGTTCGTATACATACCACTCCATTCGTAAATATTTACATATTGAACACCAAACCTCTATTGTTTACATTTATACCACCCAAATCTTTCATATCACGTCAGAAATACCTCTATTTTAACTTTTACAATGTGAAAGATATCGTTTCATACTTAGGTAAGGTGGCACATATGTAAATATTGAATTATGTGTTAGATATGTAATACATATGAATTGAGTGGAATGTTTGTAAAAATAAAAGTTTAGATGTTAGATATGTAATAGATAAAAATTGTGTGGTTTGTATGTAAAAATTGAAGTTTATGTGTTAAATATGTAATTCATAAGAATTGAGATGAATATTTGTAAAAATTGAAATGTGTGTATTAGATATGTAATACAAAGGAAACGTGTGGTTGGCTTGTAAAAATCAAAGTATGTGTTTGAAATGTAATACCTAAGAATTGTGTGGTTTGTATGTAAAAATTGAAATTTATATGTTAGAAATGAAATGCATAAGAATTGTGTGGTTTGTATGCAAAATTGAAGTTTAAGTGTTACGTATGTAATACATAAAAATTGAGTGAAATGTATGTAAAATTGAAGTTTAGGTGTGATGCATGTCGGAAAGTCTGTGGCAGCAGAGTGATTATTTAGCAATCTTAGTGTTGTATGAGACTCTAACACGCACTTAGATAACTAAAGAAGAGTAAGCAGGAGGTGACACTGGAAAGGGGAAAAACCCATGGGTCCTAGCCTAATTGAAACAATCGTTGAAACAATCTATTATAAATGGTGAGTACACAGATCCACTCTTTTATTGGATTAGAGAAGATAGAGTTCCAGAGATGATCATTGTAATTGAAACAATCCACTATACATGGTGAGTACACAGATCCACATTAGAGAAGATAGAGTTCCAGAGATGATCATTGTAAATGTATAATAGTAGTTCATCGATAATATTCATAGTATGACTGTAATGGATGTAGTTCCTAATGATTACAGATTGAAATGGTTGTAGTTGATTGTTATGGTGGTACTAGTCCACCGTGAATGTTGTAAATGGTGGTTATAGCGTCAGTTTGTCGTGTAGGAATGTCATGATAGAAATTAGATGTATGGGCCGCAAACGGTTGCTTCGAAGCGTTAGTTGGCTACATAGGCCGCCGTAGAAAGCTACAAGAGTTGTGAGCCACGTAGGTCGTAGTTTGGTCACATAGATCGTAGTGGTGAGTAACGATGAAGTCGTAGGTTGCAAAAGTCAGAGTCAAGAGTTGCACTAGCTATAAGCCATTTGGGTGAGTGATGCAAGTTTTTCTTTTATGGGAGTTACTTTCAATATGTGTTTAGATTTATAATTTAGTTATGATGCAAAATTTAATCAATTTAGTTGGTGCACTGTGTGTCTTATTCTTTCTCAACAACTAGCATGTTAACATATGTTTAAGTTTTTTTATTTATTTTAGCTTTAATGAAGATATGAAGTTACCTTGTTTGCATGGTTTATTGTATTAGCGAACCAACAAATATGAAGTATGAAATATTAGATGAATCGACCCAACCTCGTGTAGATGGAGAGGAAATTCTTACTAATGCAATTGAATATGAGAACATTACTGAAAAGCATAATGACGATGATGGAGAGAATGTTGGTGATGAGGAGAATAATGGTGATGAGGGAAATAATGATGCTGCATCTGAAGCAAAAGACTTCTGAGGCCACAAGTGGAGTTAAATATGAAGCTTAGATTTCATATTTGTGGTAAGATTTGAAAGCATTTGTCAAGTAGCAATTGTAATCATTGAGGCAATTTGACAAAGTTGAGCTATTCTTAGATGGATGCTTGGAAGGCTTGTCCTATATGTTTAGAGTATAGACTTTGTTTTGATTTTTAAGAAGTTTGTTGTCTTTAGACCTGAATCAAAGGAATGTGCGTGCAGGACTCATTACTTTGTTATCATATTTTGATGAGAGTTTTTATCAAGGCTTATTTATAATGTTTTGGTAGATTCATTATATGCATGCCACTCAAATCATATGTATTTATATATCTAAAACTTGAACTTTATTTTTAACATATATGTTGACTTACCTTTGCATGAAATTGTGTATTTCACGTTTTAAGAAGTTGAAATAGTGGTATTTTTGTTGTCATACGAGAGATTTGGGTTGTATTAATGGAAGAAGTAAAGTTTGGGTGCAAGATTTGTAAATGTATGGAGATTGGGTGGTATGGATGTAATGGTTTTTACGAGTAACTTCCTTTTGAGGCTAACTGGCTAATGATGAAAATTTTGCAAAAAAAACAAAATATTTTATTTATTTTCAATCAATTGCAATATAAAGTTACAGCTCTTTTCAATTGCTTGATTGAAACCGATATTAAAATTTTCAAGTGCAATCAAGCTTATAAAACGAGTTGAGCTCGGGCTTCCCAACGAGCTCCAGTTCACGAGTCGAGCTTGAGCTCGAGCTTGAGCCGGATTTACATTATACAAGCTAAGCTCGTTTGACCCCAAACCCGAGCTTCATTCGTTTACACCAACCGTAGTGGTGGGCTGTGACGATTTCTGTAGGTCGTAGGGACCTGAGTCGGGAGCTACATGAGCTATGGATGACAAAGGTTATATTTGGTTACATAGGTCGTAAGGGTCGGCTATGATGACATCCATAAGCCGTAGAGGCCAGATGTGGAAGTTGCACGAGCTATAGAGTGTAGTTGGTCACATAGGCCTTAGTGGTGAGCTACACTATTATTACGGGAGCCATCATTGCACCATATGCGGGGCGCATTGATATTCCATTTTTGAAATGCAACATTGCACCGTATGTGAGGCGTGATGTTACACCATCGTGGCGTGTTTCACTGTTTTTTTATGTCCGTTGGGCGGGAGCTACATGAGCTATGGATGACAAAGGTTATATTTGGTTACATAGGTCGTAAGGGTCGGCTATGATGACATCCATAAGCCGTAGAGGCCAGATGTGGAACTTGCACGAGCTATAGAGTGTAGTTGGTCACATAGGCCTTAGTGGTGAGCTACACTATTATTACGGGAGCCATCATTGCACCATATGCGGGGCGCATTGATATTCCATTTTTGAAATGCAACATTGCACCGTATGTGAGGCGTGATGTTACACCATCGTGGCGTGTTTCACTGTTTTTTTATGTCCGTTGGGATTCTGTGGCAAATAGCATAACTTCATAAGAAACTTCGCTGCAAGAAACAAATGGTCGTCGACAATTGCTTACGACGATCGACAGGCGGCAGTTCAAGTTGGCATGAGGAGCGCTATTGTGGCCAAGTTTGTTGCCAGTGATGGTTGCGGCTGCAAGGACCAGAAGTGGTTGATGGCATTCTCCGACAACATTGGCCAAATTTAGTGGCAGTGGTTGCCAGAGTGGGAGACACTCATCGAATCTACGATGCATAAGCGATGTTGGACTTCAACTCCGCTTCTTCAAAGCATCAACCTTCTTTTGACTAGCTCCAGGTTCAGGTTTTTTTTTTTTCTCAAGATGGGGTAGAGGTTTATTTATAGAGTCCATATTACAAATAAGTAAGAAATTCAAACCACCCCATTGGATAGACCGGAGAGATTCCCTTGATTGGACAAGTTTCGATGGATATTTGAGTACCTTAATGATATTAGAATTGACAATTTTGGGTTCGTTGAATTAATAATAAGCTTGCTAGATTCAGAATCCGTTTGACTTTCCAATTATTGTCTAAAAGCTCTAAAAAGTTGTTTAATGGTTTGATCTAACCTTGATTTTGCTCGGGTAGAACCAATTTTGATACTGTTGGGTCTATCTTGTAGAGCTTATCAGCTTGATTGTAAGTTTGTTGAAATAGGTGTTCTGGACGACTTTAAATTGAAGTTTGAGAGCTTCTTGCTCATAAAAGGTGCCTCGTGATCCGTGGATACCTTGAGATTCATGTCGGAAGATGGAAATTTGTTGGTGACGCATCAACATGTTAGAAATGTAATACATATGAATTGAGAGGAATATATGTAAAGATTGAAGTTTAGGTGTTAGATATGTAATACATAAGAATTGTATGGTTTGAATGTAAAAATCAAGTCATCAAACCATTTTAAAAAGCTTTAAAAACTTAGTTGGAATGTCAAGTGATTCCATATCTGGCAAATTTATCGAGCATCTCAACAATACAAAAACAATAAGCCAACTATCACTCAATTCTGACATCATTTGATTAAAGCCTCTAGGCTGTCTGATTGGAGTAGTACTGATTGGAATGTCTGTGACGATTTCTGTAGGTCGTAGGGACCTGAGTCGGGAGCTACGTGAGCTATGGATGACAAAGGTTATATTTGGTTACATAGGTCGTAAGGGTCGGCTATGATGACATCCATAAGCCGTAGAGGCCAGATGTGGAACTTGCACGAGCTATAGAGTGTAGTTGGTCACATAGGCCTTAGTAGCTAGAGAAAGAGTAGCGCCTGGAGAAAATGTAGTTGAAGTCCAATATTGTGCAACAAAGATTAGGTGAATGCTTTCATCTCTTGAAATCAGCGCCGACCATTCTCGACTACCGCTCGTCAACCGTCGCGAAACATTATTAACCACCACCCGCTCCTTATGACGAAGCTCCGTGCAGGATCATAGAGCACACCGCAACATTTCAGTGTATGTGAAGGAACAATAAAGCACATGGCAGAGCAGCAAGTTGTCCTAAGCACTGGCTACTAACACACACCTCTAAGATGAGACATTAGAGTCCCAACAAGTGTTACCAACTACAATCTCCTTCAACCACTGTGCACCTAAGAAAGTATCTTGCAAGATTGAGCAGTCCTCCCCCATCTGTGGGGTGAGGGCCCATGTTTGTAATTATCAATTTATAATGAATTATTTTGATTACACGTGATTATTTTTTTCCTTTTTGGTTTTTCTACGTAAAAAAATTATAGTGTCTCAGCAGGTTATTTAGTTTTGTCTGAGTGTGTGAGATCTTCATACAATACTGTGATGCTAATTCATTATTTTAATGTCACGAATCTTCTAGCCTGCATCAGTAATCAAAATAATAATAATAATAAGTAAGTCATGTTAATTCAACTAGACATTGTCATTGTATGTTTTTTTTCTTCACAAAACTATTGATTTAAACCCAAAGAAAAAACAGTTTTAAAACTAATTTTTTAAAAAAATAAGGAAATTATAATACAAAATGAAAATAATTTTATTAAAAGAAAAACTGAGTCATATTTCATTTTCTAAAACATGCAGATTACAATAGCACAATTTCCACAGCATAAATAAAATCAATTGGAATATGTACCCAATGGCTATAATCAAGGCTCAGCATGATTAGTTACGTTACATTAAATGATTTTGCTAAAGCTGCATAATTTAACGTTGACTTTTTATTCAGATAAAGCATTGATATTTTCTATGAAAAAGATGATTAGGTAAAACGAAATTACATAACTCAAATAAGACAATCCGGTCAATCAAAAGCAATGTACCTGTACAATTATAAATATATGATTTTAGAAATATGAGCCAGTTTTATAATCATATATATATATATATATTATGAGCCAGTTTTATAATCATATATATAGATATATATAAAGATGAAATAGCTTTATGATATTCAAAATTAGTTGTCAGAAGTCGATAATGGCAGAAAATAGGATATTCAGAATTAGTTGTCAGAAGTCGATAATGGCAGAAAATAGAATGCAAAAATTTAATGAAAGTGAAGGAGATGGATGGCTGACTTTAGGAAGAACAATCCTTCCGAGGCTTCCCACATCGCTCTGCTTCAACACCTTCTGCAACAAAAATCTGTAATTTTTTTCCGTCTTCGTTCCCTCCTGCGCGTCATCCTTCGCAGATTCAAGCTTTAAATTCATGAAAATGGCAAAAAAAAAAAAAAAAATTTGAAGTTTGCTGCTCACCCGACGTATTTCTCCAGCAGATGATGACGCATGCCTACGTAAACAATTCTCCTCCTCCATCTGTCCTTCAGGAAGAGGAGCCGCCGCCGCCACAGCTGCCTCCTCTCCCGCCGGCGATAGCGAAGGAATATCAGCCGGCAAAGATGAGAAGAAAGAGCAGTTGTTAGAATCAGAGCCTTCATCTACTGCAGCAAATGCATCAAAACTCTGCTGCTGCTGGTTCTGTTGTTGTTGGATTCTATGGTGATGAAGAGAAAAGGAGCGTTTTTGCCGAGCCATTCTCCTCTTTCTCGCCTCTTTAGTAGCCGTTGCCATCATCCCTGGATAATACAATGGCATGTACTGTGCAGCCGGCGCAGGCCGGAAGGAGCAGCAACCAACCGGCCGTGAGAAACCTTTCTGCCATGGCTCGGATAAGAAAGCTTGGTCTTGGTAGAAATTGTAGGTTGGCAGACCTTCGCCTCTGTAACCCGCGGGCATCACCGCCGGGAAAGAAGACTCTGCTGTAAAAGGCATCCATGAGCTGCAGGGCATGACCTCGTAGTGCGAGTCGATGTCAGGATTGTAAGCTGTTGCTTCATGAGTAAAGGGAATATTGGCGTTAATTGGAGGAGGAGGAGGACGGAATTCTCGATCTTTTACTGTAGCTTCTGCACCGCGGCTTCGTCGTCTTTTGTTCTGAAGATGGTGAATTTGAACCCAAGAAAGTATGAGCTTGAGGAGCTGAATCCGGCCCTGTTTACCGCCGCCGAGCCGGCGAGCGGCGCACTCTATTGTCCAACGCTTCAGCTTAATGCACCTGAGATCTTCCGGCGAGATGGAATAGATGGAATCTTTGTTTTTCTTCAACCAGTCTAGGAAAACGCAAGCTAAATCCTCCGACGAGGAATCATCCCCGTCGCATAAAAATCCAATCTTTTCTTCTGTCAGTGTTTCTCCCGAGACGAATGAGGAAGATGGTTCACTTGAGGACTCGATGGGCTCTTCGGTGCAGGCCCCCCATAAATCAACTTCATCTCCAATAATATCAAATCCGGCATCAATGGGAACAATCCGGTCTTCAATTTCCGTCTCCGCCGGAATCAGCGGCGGCGGCTGGTGCATGGCATCAGTTTCAGAGGAGTTGGCCGATGATGATTTGGTGGAGAGCTGGGGAACAGGTTGGGGAAGAGTGGAGGTCGCCGATGAGACGGAAGGCGACGCAGAGGGAGAAGACATGCACGGGAAATCAGAAAGTGAAGGGAAGGTGTCGTCTTCGTCGGAAAAAAACAATTTTTCAGCTGTTTCTTCCATATCAACGAAGATATCTTGAAATGGAGACAGCGGTTTAGGATTCTCTTCTTCTCCGGCGAACTCCACCACCTTGTTATAGTTGAAGCCAGAAGCCTCTGTATCAAACTCCATCTTTACTGTTTCAGAACCGCTCATGCTCGCTCTTCGCCGAGCTAGCTAGCTAATTGAACGGCACCGGAAGCTTAAAAACACAAATACACGCACTGATCTCTCTTCTGTTTTCGATAGATAGAGATTTTGAGTCCAGCGAACATTCGACAGGCGTGCGGCAGGTATTGGCGCCATGAGCGGTGCCGTCCGGTAGCTCTTTTATCTCTTTCTGCCTGCGCTGCGCGCGCTAGCCTATAGAGTCGCCCGCCCAGTTTCACAACGTGGGGTGGCAAAATAAGTTTTTAGAATGATGTAGTTTTCCTGCAATTCTATTTGATTAAACATTATTTAATTGGTAATTTAGTTTATGTTTCTTTCATTTTCCTTTATATATATATAAAGG